AATATGTGAGGGGCTGGAGAGAAAAAAAGAACGTGTGACCGTGTTCTTCTTACTAGCAAAGCAACAAAAAGCCTCGGTTAACTGTGATTACTGTAATCAGTATAAATGCCGTTAATGAGGTATTTTTCACTCTCTTAAGTCTGGAAGCTGAGTGTGTGTGTGTGTGTGTGTGTGTGTGTGTTGTGTGTGTGTGTTGTGTCTTTTTGTGTGTGTGTGTGTATGAGTGTGGTGTGTCTCTGTGTGTGTATGGTGTGTGTGTGTATGTGTGGTGTGTGTGTTTGTCTTACTGTAGGTAAACTTCTTGCTATAGGTCCCTGTGCCCACGTGCTGCCTCTCTAAGGGCTAGAAAGGCATACCTCACCCAGATGGTGGCGGTAGGAAACAGTGTAGTGCTCTTACCTGGAGAGAAACCAGACTAAGAACGATAATTCTGCATGAGGTTGGGCACAGTGGTGGAAGCAGGAGACGCTCGGGGCAGCTTTCCAAGGAGGTGAATTTGCCTGGGACCTTTCTGATCATAGGAGAAATGAAGGAAGCCGCAGGCGTAAGGTCCGAGCGGTTAACCATGTTTGAACACGGTTAGGTGGTGTAGACGGCCCAAGCGATGAAGTAAGATGAGAGGCGGAATCGCTTGAGAGTAAATTGGGAAATTAGGGTCTTGAAACCGAGGTTTGTAATCTTAAGTGAATGAGCAAGCATGGAAAAGTTCCACGCGTGTGAGTGTATAGAATACAGATAGACACCTGCATGGCGATAGGATGTCTGAGTTAACGAGTGTTTCTGTAGTTAGTGGACTAGAAGGCCAACGTTGTCTGGTATCTGTATAACCAGTATCTCTGCCCTTTAGCAACCGTACAGTCACTCAGGATTTAGGTCGAATAAAGGTGTCTCCTGTTGTTGATTTATAAACAAAAAGACTTTGAAGGGAAACTCAGTGTGTTCAGTAGTGGGTTTAATTGTTTGTCTCTCTCACCCCCCCGCCCTTTGACCTTTTGCCAGACATGTGCATCGCTATTGCAATCTCTCTCCTCATGATCCTGATATGTGCTATGGCTACTTACGGAGCGTACAAGGTAAGTGGTTCTCAACATCCCTAGTGCCGTGACCCTGCAACACAGTTCCTTGTGGTGGTGACCCCCAACCATAACATTATTTTCCATACTGGTTTATAGCCGTAATTTTGCTACTGCCATAAATCATAATATAAATATCCGTGTTTACTGATGGTCTTAGGCGACCCCTCTGAAAGGGTCATTTGACACCCCAAACTCCTGCATTAGTGTCATCTGTGGGATTGCCTGTTCGGGGTATGGGATTATTCATAGTTTTCTGCTAGAATCTTTAGAACTCTGTAATTCTTCATGGTACTAGGAAAACTGGTAAAAAACCAACGTTACCATCAACGCCCACCATTTTGTTTTGACGGCCGCCATGATGGTCTGGCTTAATGACTGCCAGTTCCCGGTCCCTTCAGATTGGTGAAGTCAAAGTCCTGTTACACCCGTGGCATGACCATTCTGTTTTCTCGTGTTTAGCAACACGCTGCCTGGATCATACCGTTCTTCTGTTACCAGATCTTCGATTTCGCCCTGAATACCTTGGTTGCCATCACCGTGCTTGTCTATCCAAACTCCATCCAGGAGTACATACGGCAGCTGGTAGGTGGCCCTGCCTCTTGTCCTGAAGGGACTGACTGAGTAGAGGACAGAGCATTATCGGGACATATGTTATTGTCTGGACATAGGTTATTATCGGGACATACGTTAAGTAGATTTTGAACTTGCACTCGAGTAGCTGGTCAGATTGCTGAGTGTTTTCTTAAAGGCGGGAGTTTTAATTACTAGGGCGTTTTTGGGATACTGTGTCCATCATAACCTTCCGGAACCTGCAGGAGATAAGACAGTGATGCCTAGAGACGGCAATGAAAGGGAATTGTGGACATTCCCCTGATGACGAATTAGAAGACAGGGAGTTAGAAACTCGGTTATCTGAGAATGCTGCCGGTGATCCCAAGCCAGAGTCCTGTAAAACAGTTAATATAAGTGTGTGTGCCTTTTCATAGTGTGTGCTCTTCATTTTTTTAGCCTGGGGTAATTCACCGTCTTTGCTTACAAAACAAACTCGTAAGAGAACCTGCTGTCTAGAAAGATGTGCCATTTAGCAGAGGCACGCATTTTAGGAAGTTTCTCCTCCTTGTCCTGCACACACCCTTTAGAATATCCAGAACTTGATGAAAACCAAGAAGACACTGCCCGGTCACCACACCAGAAGTGTCCCGAGTACCACACCCTGACGGTGGACTCCAGGGTGCAGTGAGTGAGTGGCGTTTCACGTCCGCTCATGACTCCTTCTTTGACTCTTGTTCTTTGTGTGTGAGGGTGAAAGAGTCACTCCAGAATGAAAGCAGCAGCTTCCGATAAAACTGACTGCCTCAAGCTTTGCAAAAGCCTCCCCCCCCTTTTCGTTTTTTCCATATGATGGGGTTTCTCTGTATAGCCTTGCCTGTCCTGGAACTTGTGTAGACCAGACTGCCCTCAATTTAAGAGATACACCTGCCTGCCCAGTACTGTGCAAAAGCCTCTTTTATTGTTACACAAAACCACCTTTGGCAAACTAATATCCGTATACCAAAACCTCTTTTTATCTGGAGTTGTTTGAAGGGACCATTACCTCTGCAGTTCTCAGCCATATGAGACCTCCTGGTTTGCCAGGTCCATCTCAAGACTAAGTTACACAAAGGCCCTGGAATTCCTTCAGGAAGAACAACTCAGTAACAACCCCTGACTTAAACAAAAGGTTACCTCAGAGACCAGGTGCATGCATTGGCTCTGTGGAGTCTCTCTGTACAGACTCTGCTTTGCTAGAGTGCCTGAGTTATGAGCACACTGTTATCCTTAGCTCACTGTTTGTTGCTGTTTCATGGGTAGAGGCGGGAGAGATTTTTGTGGTGGTATTTTGTTGATGACCTAATAAAGCTTTCTTGAAGATCAGAGTGCAAAACTAGGCACAGCCAGAGAGGCCAGGCAGTGGTGGCGCACACCTTTAATCTCGGCACTCAGGAGACAGAGGCAGATGGATCTCCGTGAGTTCAAGGCCACCCTGGGCCACATGAGTGTGAATCGGTCTAAAAGAGAAACAGCCCTCACGCCTTTAATCCCAGCACTTGGGATGACATGTCTTTAACCCCAGCAGCACTCAGGAGGTGGAGACAGGAGTGATCTGGCTGGGTGGAGAGAGGGATATAAGGCGGAAGGAGACAGGAACTCATGGCGGTCTCAGTGAGTCTGAGTAGCAGTGCAATTCGAGGTGTGGTGAGTCTTGGTAGAGATGAGAACTGTCCAGTGGCTGGGCTGTTTTGCTTCTCTGATCTTCAGCTTTAACCCCAATATCTGTTGCTGGGTTTTTATTATTTGTGCTACATGTCCTAAATAATAATAATAATCTGCTCTCAGGTGAGCGCCCTGGGCTGCTGACTGTGTAATATTTCTCCACAGTTGAATGGAATTTGCTAATGAGGCCCCCTTCCCTTTCAGCCTCCCAGCTTCCCCTACAGAGATGATATAATGTCCGTGAATCCTACTTGTCTGGTCCTTATTATCCTTCTGTTTATCAGCATTGTTTTGACATTTAAGGTAAGCACGAATATTCTCCGTATGGACTAAATAGTAAACGTACTCCCGAATTCGAGAGAAATAACAAAATAATCTGTCCGTTGCCTCTTGACTTCCTAACGTTACAGTTTACTCTGTTGTCTGTGTGTGAGAAAAATCCTAACTCAAATTCCTCAGGCCAGTCAAGGAGAGATGTGTCGGTGGTTAGCAGTACTTTCTGTTCTTCCAGAGGACTCAAGTTCTGTCAGCGGCACCTGCATGGTGGCTCACAACCATCCGTAACTCTAGACATACACACACACACACACGCATGCACGCACACACACACATGCACACACGCACGCACACACTCGGGCAAAACACACACATAAAATAAAAATTAAAAAAGATGTATCTGGGAACAAATTAAGGTTACACATTACATAGTATATAATACTGCAACATGCACTCTGTCGTTGTACTTGTTTTTAGTGGTAATGCCGCAGAAGTTAGATGCAAGTATTTGAATGAATATCACACATGCGCAGTTTTTATTGCTCTGCAATTCAAAGTGTCACAAAGCTGGACCATTTTAACGAATGGCTTGGTGGGTAAAGGTCCTTGCTGCAAAGCTGATGAACTGATGTGAGTTCAGTTCCAGGAACCCACAGAGTGGAATAAAGAGAACCAGCTCCCAAAAGCCATCCTCGGATTACACGGACAATGTCATGTGCACATGCACATACATGTGGGTATTCACGTACACACACACACGTGTGCACACATGCACACACTCTAAAAAAGTAGATGTTATTAAAAGAAATGCAAGTCAGTACTTTCTAGTGCACTACCAGGAGTGTGCAGCTTTAGCTCTGTGGCTGCACATACTGTATAAGTTTTTTTTCTTTTTTCCCATACTGTGTAAGTACAGTGGGTTTTTCTGTTTTGGTTTGTTTTTTTTGTTTTGTTTTTTTGAGACAAGCTTTCTCTGTGTAACAGCCCCGGCTGTTCTGGAACTCACTGTTTGTAGACCAGGCTGGCCTCGAACCCACAGAAATCTGCCTGCCTCTGCCTCCCGAGTGCTGGGTTAAAGGTGTGCACCACCACGCCAGGCTTTTTAGAGCATTACCACTGGAAAACCACCGCATTCTTTTCCTGTCTCTAGATTGATGTATTGTAGACACTCTACATGAGTATAGTCACACTGTGTGTTGGTGTTTGTGGATGGCTTTTTTTTCTCCTAGGTTGCTGCCCTAGTTTTCTTTCTGTTACTGTGATAAAGCCCACGACCAAAAGCAACTTGGAGGAGGAAAGTGTTGATTTTCCTTACATTCCTGGGTCACGGTTTGTCGTGGGAAGCCAAGGCAGGAACTGAAGCGGAGATCATGCAGGAACACTGCTCACTGGTTTTCTCCATTGCTTGCTCAGCTTCTCATTTTCATACAACCCAAGACTCTGGGTGACACCGTCCACAGTGGCTTGAACCCTCCCATATCCGTCATTACTTAAGAAAAAAAGCCCCACGGGCTTATCTTCAGCCCAGTCTGATGGAGGCATTTTCTCAACTCTTCCCACATGCCCTCGCTGTGATAGGCCCTGCTGTGTGATGCACCACAATACCCAGCACACGGCAGGCATCCAGTTGCTTCCACTCAGGCTAGAGTGGACTATGCTGCTCCTCACAGTCTTGCATAAAGTGTGGGTGGACATGAGTTTCCAGTCGTGTGGACGTACAGTCCCTGGGGTAGGATTGCTGGATCCTCTGGTAACTTGATTGACACTTGCGGGTGGGGACGACCGTACTGTTTGACGTCTTTAACAGCAGTGTGTGATATTTCTGTTCTCTTTCTCTGTCTAATGTTTTAAAACAAAGAATTTTAAAATTTAGGGGGGCATTTTGAAATAATTGAGCTCTAATCCATTTAAAGGTGATTGATGCAAGAGCACAGGGAAAACCCCTGATCTAACATCTCTCACGAGTCATTGCTAGCAGGTTGTTCTTCTGGGTGATAATCTTAAGTACCTCTAGATACCATAATAGGCTGGAGAGATGGCTCAGGGGTTAAGAGTACTGACTGCTCTTCCAGAGGTCCTGAGTTCAATTCCCAGCACCCACATGGGTGCTCACACCTGTCTATAACTACAATTCCAGAGGATATGACACCCTCACACAGACAGACATGCAGAGAAAACACCAATGGACATAAAATAAAAAATGAGTAAATCATTAAAAAAATTAAACAAAAGCTCTTTAAAAAAAGAAAATGGTATAATAAAATCAGACAACCCTGTGGAATAAAAACGGTCAAGTAGTGTGAGCCTATTATAACGGGAAGTCGTGGTGTTAAGACTGGAGTGGGGTGGGGCTTGAGGCTAGCCTGGGCTACACAGCAAGTTTGTTTCTCCTCTTGGCAAAGAATAAGTAGTGTAGTGGTAAACGGGTTAATAAATTTGACCAATGTTGGTAGCAATTGTTCCTTTTAACCACCCACTTCTAAGGTGGGCCCCTCCCATCCCTAGTATTAATGCCGTCGTCCTCTGGTGTGCCCCAGTGCACCCCTTGCCAGAAAGCTACCATACCCACTTCTGCAGTTTCAAATGCGTTAGGTTTAGTAACATTAGCATGCGTGTGTAAATAAAGGCTTCATGATGTTACTTTGTTTTAAGTCATGTGTGGTTTGAAAATTAAAAACTCAGTGGCTGGTGCCTGCAGGGTTACTTGATAAGCTGTGTTTGGAGCTGCTACCGATACATCAATGGCAGGAACTCCTCGGATGTCCTGGGGTACGTTACCAGCAATGACACCACGGTAAGTGTGATGTCACCCAAGGTGAGACCTCCCCCACCCTCTGCTGTGGGATGTGGCTAATGTTTTTAGTGTTTTCTACTTCCTGCTGTTTTGAGACGTGGTTGTGTGCGTGCGTGCGTGCGTGTTTCTTCAAGACGGTGTCTCTGTGTAGTCCTGGCTGTCCTGGAACTCACTCCATAGACCAGGCTGCCCTTGAACTTACAGAGATCTGCCTGCCTCTGCCTCCCAGTTGCTGGGATTAAATGAGTATGCCACCACTACCTGGTTAAGACATGTTTTACATTTGCTTGGTCTACCAGGTTGTAGTTTTTGTCAGATACCTGAAATGACTCTGAGGGAGAAGAGTTCTTTTTGTTATACTTTAGACATTTCTGTCGTGCGATTAGACTTGTTCCATTACCAGGGACTTGTAGTGGATAGGGAGAATATCGTGGCAGTAGACCCTGTGGTGCGAGAGGCTGCTCACTCCAGGGCAGCCAGGATGCAGAGAGCATTATGGAGATGCCTCTGACTAAGCCAGGGCTCCCGGTGACCTACTTCCTTCTAAGCAAGCCCCGCTTCCAAAAGTTTCAATCAGCTCGCAGTAATAATACCATCAGATTATGAGAAGACCATATGGAACCATCAATAGGGTTACTAATAGATCAGTCCATTGGTCGGGTCAGAGTCCTTGGTGTCCAGTTGCTTTCAGTGACTGGGTCCACTAGCTGGGGACCAAGCCTTTAACTTGTGAGTCTCAGGGGTAGGGTGGGGCGTCTAGGGCATCTCACATTCAGACCACGACATAGGTAATAATTGAGCTTGGAAAACAGTCATGGAAAATAACCAACCGGTGAAATGAAACGGTCTGTCAAGGTGGCTCAGCAGTTAAGAGCTGTTGCTGCTACCCCGGGGGGGAGGGGGGGGGCCTTGTTCACTTCCCAGCATGACGGTACCTCACAGCCCTCCGTAACTCCAGTTCCAGATCTGGCTCCCACCTTTCCCGAGAGCACCAGCCCAGCCGTGCACACGGTACACAGACACACATGCAGCCAAAACACCAGTACACATGAACGTAGACCGTCCACCAAACGGCGGCAAACAGTGAAGAGCGGAAGTTATTCCAGTGGAAGCTACATGTGTCCTGATAAGTTGTGTAAATGATCCTAAATGAAACTTCCCGTTCCGTACCTATCGTGTGTCTTCAGGAAGGGAGAGCACAAGCTTTCGGTAACGCAGACACACATCGAAGTCCATAGCACTGACGCTTAGGTTAGGCCATCCCTGGCTGGTTGGAGCCCCATCCGGAGCTCTTCAGGGTTCTTGCTGTCGCTCATGTGTTTCCGACACCGGTTCTGTGGTCTGCCGTTTGTCCAAGGAGCCGTTTCTTTTTGGTGGAAAATGATATCTGGAGGGTGTAATGTGGACTCTGAGGGTTGGAGTACTCCATCATTTTAGAGATCTCTCTATTTTGGCAAGAACTGGGGGTTTTAATGTTGGCATTCTAATTTAATAACCAAATGTGCCGACACCTGCCGCAGAGACCTTCCAGAAGGTTGGAGTGGTCTAGTTTCCCATGGCACATACCAATCTGAGTTTCTCCTCTGCCCGTGTCAGTCAGAATTGGGCATCCGCATCAACACAGTAATATGTCATGCCTGGCTCTCACTTTATATTAAGTATTGGGCCAGATGGCTCTTCTCCCAGGCTACATTCATGTCGACCTTCGTGGACAGATACTGGGCTCTTGTTAGTAAGTAAACACGCTTCGTCTCCTTTTCTAAGACGGTGCACATGCTGTGGTTTGCTCAGGGGAAGGACAGGAATGAGTTCTAGATAATGGGCATCATTCCCAGGGTTACCCTGCCTCCATTCCCAGCTAGACCATGCTGGGATTGCCTGGGGCGGAGGGTCCCAAACAACGCCTTGAGGTCTGAGTGATTCTTTCAGGCCACGGGAATAAATACCCAACTCATCTTTGGGATAAGCAGTCACATATGCATGGTTTGACAGCAGCCTGCTCCATGTGTTTCCCCTGAGAGAAATAAATAAAAGGTTTAAAATATCCCAAGGTGCCCCTTCTGCGTCACCGCAGCTGCCTGGCCCCAGCACTGTTGGTGCCTAGGGGAGATTCGCCCTCCCCTTTCGAGCCCCATGTTGGAGAAATCACGTGGTGGATACATTATGTAACATCGCGTTCTCTTCCTAATGCCCTGAAAATGTGCTCACTGGGGGAAGAAAACACATTAAAATGATAAGCATGTATATCGTGGAAATGTTCTTCACAATAAACATTAGCAAATTGAAGTTCTTAAAAGCTTAATATATTTCACTAATAACTTGTTAGTGAAATAGATCATTAGTTTCACTAATAAACTCAGGTCATAGCAGTATTTTTACCAAAGTGTATGGATCCCAATTCCTGTGGGACCAGGGTCCTCTGAATCAGTGAGATTAATATTTAGCTAAAATGTGTCTGAAATTCCGAGTCCAGATAAAAGCATTATAGACTTGGATAGGAGAGGTAGGTTCTTAATCATTTTAAGGAAAATGTAAGCTTCATGCAGTCAGTTATGCTATGCCAGTATAGGCGCTGGTTCAGATCACCTTGTGCAAGCTTATCCTTCCAAAAGTATTTCAGTGTGCGGGGCTTTCTCTTGAATCTGCTTTAAAAATACAGTTAAAAGAAAAAGCTCCCGTGGAAGGCAGACCGTCTCCCTGTAGCCATTTCTCTGACATACTGAAGGTCAGTTAAGGCCAACCTTTGGCCACCAGAATGCTCTGAACAGCTTTGCAGTGGGAGTGGCATTATGGTTGCCCCCACAACTTTCCATAATTGTCCACAGTTCTCTTTTTCCTTCTCCTTCCCTTTTTCTTTTCCTCCAACTGCTAGTCTGAGTTTTCTTAGTATAAATTAGTCATGGTTAGAGGCAAGTTCTTGACCAGGTTCTGTTGTTTTTCTTAAACATAGGAAAGAGGGAGGGGGTGTTGAAACTGGCAACAAGAAAGATCCTTAAATGGACTTGAGAGTCATTCATCTCCAAGAACTAGACAGTCAGCAGCATAAAACACAAACAAGCCTTAGTCTTTCTGCAGAAAAGTCACAACTAATTGGCCGGACAAGTGGATGAGCTTCCGATGTGTTTTAGCCAGATTCAAGAACATCTGCTTAGATGACCCAAAGGGCCTGGGAAACAGCGAGAGTCTTCAAATGTGGGACAAGAGGAGGGAAAACTTTACTGGGTTTAGAAACATTTCCCATAATTTGTTGGTTTTGAAACTTCTGGCCTTTGGAATGCTATGATGTAAAAGGGCAGTCGTATTTCCAGTGACAATTTTTTTTTTTTTTATTTATTTAAAGATTGTATTTATCTAGAAAGATGTTGGTGGACACACCTTTAATCCCAGCCTGGTCTACAGAGTGAGATCCAGGGCAGGCTCCAAAGCAATACAGAGGAACCCTGTCTTGAAGGCCAGAAGAGGGCACCAGATCTCATAATGGATGGTTGTGAGCCACCATGTGGTTGCTGGGAATTGAACTCAGGACCTCTGGAAGAGAGGAGTCGGTGCTCTTAACCTCTGAGCCATCTCTCCAGCCCTGCCCCAGTGACCTTTTTTTTTTTTTTTTTTTTTTTCCCGCGACAGGGTTTCTCTC